GGGCGGGCGGGCTGGGGGAGCTCGCGTGCTGCCAGGGCGGGAATCCTGGTTCTCATTTCCTGGGTAGGGCTGCGGTCTGCGCTGCCAGCCCGACGCTGGCCTCGCTTTGTACCCGCCGGGAGCGTGGGGCTAGGCAGCCGGTCTCCTGCCGCAGCCCAGTTACCGCCCCATCGCAAAGCGCTTTCCGGCTTTCGCCCAGGATCTGTCAGTGGGGCATTGCACTGGTCCTGTCCCAGACAGCCCCTGGCGTGCAGACCAGGCTTTCTCATGTTCAACAAATCCAGCCTTGCCACTGCTTGGCTTCTGAAATTCCCTTGGGGCTTGGCAGGACAGGCTGGAAAAATGTACACGGCTTGTTTTGCTACAGGGTGAAGTCTGGATGTGCAGGAGCCGGTATATATAACCTTTGGTAGTAAGTTTTATAAGAACAAAAGAAGGGCCACCCTGGGTCACACCACAGGTCCAACAGTGGTCAGTGCTAGATGGAGTGAATAGAATATATACTTATCAAATCATCCCATCCCCTGCCCTGTTATATTTCAGCCTGTGTCTATGTTGACAAAGCTGAGAAGTAATCCTCACTACTCTCCTATCAGAAGCTCTGTAGGTCAATAGATTAAGCAATAGCATGCAAATTAAGAACTCCTGTGTTCTTTTCTTGTGTCAGTAAGTGATCTCTACAGTATGACCTACGGATGTTAAAATGCATTTTGTTTTGTAAACATGTAACTGCTGAAATTTACAGGGGATACTTGTTTACGTGCAGGTGGTCAGCTTGCACCGCATGGGCTCCTGCCTATCCCCTCCCCCCATGTTGCTACCTCTGTATTAGAGGCTGCAATGCAGAGAGCAGGTGGCTCTGGGGGAGCCAGCACACCCAGGGAGCTGGCTTAAAAGCTGGTTCCCTATGCATACCAGCTTCTGCCTGCCCCCTCCCTGCTTTTTCTAGATCAGAGGCAGGAGTGGGGCCCAAGAGCATGAGCTTCTTCCTGGATACTCAATAACTTCCATTGACCTAATTGTTAATTTAATAGTGCATTGAGTAGCTCTCGGTACTCATTTGTGAGACAGTTGAGTGTTGTTTATATACAGACTCAGAATGCCATATAAAAAGACAAGTGAAAGATAAATAACTTAAAACTTGAGGTAAAATAAAAATCCATTTTTCAGTCAGTAGTGTATGATAATGTTTCTTTAAATAAGACCTTTTAATTGAACACTTCTCTTACTTGGTTTATTGAAATCTCAAGCCTTATGAAAAATTGTATAACTTCATTTTGTTCCTGAACACAGCATACTTTTTTTTAAATTTCTAAAATTTGCATCTATCACATTTATGACTAGGCATGTAAACACATTGTTTCAACAACAAAATTGCCTAATCCAAATCATATATATAGTAGCCCAATGTCTGAGAGTCTGTAATGCTGAAATGCTGGCTGTTCCCTCTGGGCGGCCCTTGATGCATGGGTAGCGTGGGGCCCAAATGGCCGCTTGCGCCGCTTGCTCCCCTGCGGCGGCCTGGCAGAGTGGCGCAGAAGTCAGCCGAGCACCATGGCGGGAGGCAAAGGGGGGGGGCGGGTCGGTGATGTGCAGCATGACAGCGGCTCCAGGCCCTGCCCTCTGGCCGTGAATGTCACTGCCCCGCCCCCCTTCGCCTCACGCCGTGATGCTTGGCTGACTTCTGTGCCACTCAGCCAGGCTGCCACATGGGAGCAAGTGGCACAAGCAATCGTTTGGGCTCCGTGGACCCCCGAGTGAGAGGCAGGAGGGGGAGAAGGAGAGACAAAAAGAGAGGGGGAGGTAGTAGGAGAGAGAGAGAGAGAGACACACACATACATACACGGAGCGAGAGATCGGAGGCTCAGGAGAGAAGACCAATGTGGAGGAGAGACCTGAAAATCCCGTCTTATGATGGGCTAATTGGCTAGTATAAACTGATTCAGAGTTCTAATCAAGCTGCATTTGGGCCCTGCTGGACCTGGGAGGGAAATTAGTTCCAGAGCTGAGTTCCTTTCATTGACAATACATAATTAAAAAGTGGTTATGGTTTAGGTATATATTACTTTTCAAGAAAGTTGCTTTAAATAAAAAAAAAGTTAGAACTAAAATTGTATGTTTTGATCAAGGCATTCAAACTTTATGTAGACCTCCTGAGGCCTGTAGAAAGGGAGAGCCTTCTCATGAGCCTTTTGCTGAAAAACATTCCTTTTCTGCTATCTAGCTCAAGGGTGTCCAAACTTACAGACCTTCAAACTGCATAAAACAATCTTCAGAAGTTCGAGAGCCAGAGCATGCTTGCTTGGGTTTCAGCCCCTTCTGGGGCCTGGAGCTTCAGCCCTGCAGGGAGAGGAGTCTTAGGGCATCTGAGATACAGGGAGAGTCACTACTTTTGCTGCTGTCTCTCACAGTGCTAAAGTGGCAGCTTTCAGCTGCATGCTGATGCTTTTTCATGCAAACCTAACACCTGGGAGCTGAAAGGAGGGGTCATTTCAACTGTATGCCTTGTTGGCAGTATGATTCAAGCTGTTGGGGATAACCTTTAAATTGGACTCCCCCACACCTCAAGCATTGGTTATCTCGGGAAGAAGCCTCTAAACCAGGGGTGAGCAATAATTTTTACCGGGGGGGCCTCCAAGAATTTTGATAAGTTGTCACGGGATGCACTTTTCTATTATATTAATGGAGGACTGGGGTGGAGAGGGTGCTCTGGGCACAGATTGGGCTGCAGGAGGGGTTGTAAGGTCTGGGAGGGATTTTGGGTGCAGGAGTGGTTTCTAACCTGGGGCAGCAGATTGGGGTGTGAAAAGGGGTTCAGGCTCTGACTGTGGCTGGGAGATGCTTACCAGCTGGTGGCACAGTGGGGCATTCAGGCAGGCTGGTCCCAGACCACTCTAGCAACTGGCTACTATTGGTAAGCATGTCTGAGTGTCCCTTGGGGAGGGAGGGCTGCAGCAGGTCTCTGTGTACTGCTCGCACCCACAAGTGCTGCTCTTGCAGCTCTCACTTGCCGGTTTCTGGAAACCCTCTGAAAATTTTAAATGACACGACTTCTGTCCCTTCAAAAAACAGGACTATGTAGCACTTTAAAGACTAATAAGATGGTTTATTAGGTGATGAGCTTTCGTGGGGCAGACCCACTTCCTCAGATCAAATTGTGGAAGAAAATAGTCATGACCATATATACCAAAGAAATACAATCAAAAAAAGTGTACACACATAAAAAGGACAAATCAAATTTCAGAACTGGGGGCGGAGGGAGGTAAATGTCTGTAAGCTAATGATATTAGAGGTGATAATTGGGGAAGCTAGCTTTGTAATGGGTAAGACAATTAGCATCTTTGTTAAGACCCTGGTGTAAAGTGTCAAATTTAAGCATGAATGACAGTTCAGAGGTTTCTCTTTCAAGTCTGGTGTTGTTAAAATGCCTTTGAAGCAGTATGCAGGTAATCAAGTCATTGAGACAATGCCCTTTCTGGCTGAAATGGCAAGAAACTGGTTTTTTTTTTTTGTGATACTGTCTGATATCCGTTTTGTGTGCATTGATTCTTTGACTGGACTGAGCTGTTGTAATTTAGAATTAGGAAAACTATTGTAGCTAAGTTTTAAAGATTAGTTCAATTTAGAGGTTAAGATATTTCTGAAAAAAGAGGGCAAGATGTCCTATAAATATTTTATCTTAAACAATTGTTTGCCTCTTCTTTTAAGGTATACGTAGCCTGTCAGTCTATGCTTATTGTCCTAGTGGGGGCTGTGCCAGAGTATCATATTGACCTGGGAGAAATTCCTACTAGCACAGAGGAGCTTGCCAGACATGTCCAGTTTGCAGATAACTTCACATCTATAGCAACTGAGGCAAGTATTCTGTGCTATGTCATTTCTGATCGCTATTTTCTGGGTTGGTATTGTATTTCTTTATCATGAAGGCAGGATTCTCTTGTGAAGCCTGAAGAAGACCTAATTGAATATGTTGCTTGCACAAATTGTAATTCTTCTGTACATGAGAGCAGGAATTGCTGAAGATAAAAAGGTTACTCGGGTCAGGCATCTCCCCCTTGAACTTACCAGAACCCACATTTCTCTACTTTATTGCTATTTCCTTCAGTTTTCTTAATTTTTTCTTATGCATACTATTACTATTTTTAATTTTTTCTTATGTGAAGTAAAGCCAAAAGTAATAGTATGCATAAGTTCAGTATTCCAATTGAAATACTTTGGGTTAAATTCACTTTATGGTCTTATCTAGAAGATTTTCCCGACATTGCTTTAGGTCCTTGTGGGGGCTCAGAGGGTGGGGTGTGCAGGGGTCAGGATAGGGGGTTGGGAAGCGGGTGTGGAGGGGCTCAGGACAGAGGGTAGGATGCTCAGGGCAGAGGGTTGGGAGGTTTGTGGGGTAGATCAGGGGAGTCCCGAAGCCAGCTGGGGCTGTGCTGCTCAGCCAGTGGCTGGTGGCTGGGGGGGGGCAGTGCTAAGCTGTCCCAGCCAACAACTATGCTGTCCAGCTGATGTCTGGTGTCCGGGGGTGCCGCAACAGTGGGTACTGCGCTCTCCGGGCCCAATCAGGGCTGTGTGTCTAGTTTGCTTATTAGGAAAAACTATTTCACAAGGAGGGTGGTGAAGCACTGGAATGGGTTATCTAGGGAAGTGGTGGAATCTCCATCCTGAGATGTTTTTAAGTCCCGGCTTGACAAAGCCCTGGCTGGGATGATTTAGTTGGGGTTGGTCCTGCTTTGGGCAGGGGGGCTGGACTCGATGACCTCCTGAGGTCTCTTCCAGCCCTGGGATTCTATGATTCTATGAACCAGCAGCTGCTCTCCTGTGGGGCTGTGGTTGCAGGGCTGCTGGCTGGTGGGGCTTCCCTTCGCCTCTCCTGGCGTCCAGCACTGGGGCCAATGGGGAAGTGATTTGGACTCCAGCTTGAGGGGAGGGGGCTGGAGGGGGAGCACTTACCCATGGCCATCAACATGCAGATTCCCTCTCCCAGCTGGCTACTCTCTTACTGATGTGGCCCACCCCTCTCCCATGGTCGCTCTGCACTATCACTGTCGCCCATGCTTGCTGCTCCTCTGTGGTCATTCTGGAGCATAATTGTCCTTTCTATCACACCCCTCCCATTCTGTCCTATGGAAAAAAATTGGATTCCAAGCACATCCCATTGTTACAGCACAACATGGTGGTCCTAGTTCTTACCCCTTAGGATGAGTTCTTGAACAAATGGACTCTCAGACAGTCAAATACACAAACTCTTTCAAATATAATAGTAAGATTTAATTTAATGATTTTTTAGGATTTTTTTTCCACCCAGATCTTCAATAAAGAAGACAGTTTACTATAGCTCACAACATTTAATTGCATGTTTGAAATTTTACATCAACCTGCTGTATAGTCAGTTTTCTACTGAGAATGAATTCAGCCTCTCAGGAAATACTTACGATATGTGTCAAGAAGAGCTAATGAGTTGGAATAATTTTTTTATTCTGTTTTGTATTGTTTAGTGTAGTAAATAATGAATATAGGTGCATCATGTCCTCCCAGTCCTATGGGAGAATTAATTTTTTTCTGAAAACTAAACTCATATAACTATTGTGGACTTCACAAAATATCATGCTATCTTCAGGGATGGAGGTGAACTGAACCAGGGAACTGGACATATTACTTCACCCTCTAGTTTTATGTGTTTTACTGCATTATTGCACAAAGCTTAGGTGCTCACTGCATTCTTGCACAAAGCTTAGGTGCTCTTTCTGGGATCCCCATTAGGGATATAAGCGACTAGTCGACTACCCAATAAGCGGGGCTCGACAAATGCACTCGCCCGCTTGCCTGTGGTGAGTAGATTTTTCCAGCTGGCAAGTGCAGGGGCGGACTGGCCCAGTGGGCCATTGTGACGGGCTGGTCGAAGCCCGCACTACGGGCAACGCGGCTCCATCCAATCCGCCGGCCAGCGGAGGAGCACAGCGCTGGTGGGAAGGGGGAAGTGTGACGATTCTGCCCACTGGGCTGCCTGTGTGCAGCTCCGGCGCAAGGATGCGGGAAAGGATGCCAGGACGCTGGTGTGACCTGGCCCAGGTGATTTTAAAGGGCCGCGGCAGCTCGTCTTTGTCTGCCTGTCCCTGGGAGCTGGCTGCGGTGCGCGGCACAGCCAGGGCCCGCCCTGTCGGCTCCAGTCCTGCCATGGCCCCAGCCCCCCTTTGTCCCCATGCCTCCCCTGCACCCCGGACCTCTTGCTCTCCTTCTTCCCTGTCACTCTTTGGCTCTGTGCTGCCCTTATATCCCGCACCCTGCTCTCCCCGATCCCTGCCCCCCATCTCTGTGCTGCCCAGTCCCTACACTGCCCCTAGATCCCGATCCCTCTGTCCCTCCCGTTCCCCGCATCCCATTCTCTGTGCTCCTCCGCTACCCCCGATCTCTGCATCCCTCTGGCTCTGTGCCTCCTGTTCCCCGTGCCTCCCCCATTCTCCCCCACTGTTCCCTGCAACCCTCTGGCTCTGTGCTGTCTCTGCACCCCCTGTGGGTTGGGAATGAAAGGTGCTTGCCCATAGGGAGGAGCTGGACAGGGCAGGGAAAAGGCTGCTGTGATCCAGCAGCGAATGAAAGGGGGAGTTCACTTGAAGCGCCTTTTCCTTTATGGAAAAAAATGAATGCAAATACTATTTATTATTTATAGAGCTAAAATGCTGGGACAAAAAAAAAACATTGCAAAATGCAAACGTGTAAAAGACAACAACAAAGCGGGCGGGGGGAGGCAAAAATGTTTTGCTTGGGGCAGCAAAAAACCTAGAGCTGGCCCCTGGGGAGGGGAAAAATATGGGGAAGGGGCTTGTGCTGAGGGGAGGAGGTCAGGAGAAGAAGAAGAAGAAGAAAGGGGAAGGCGACGGGTGCAGGAGAGACAAATGCCAGGGGGCCAAGTGCAGACAATGAGGAAAAGGGCAGGAGGGGAGGTGTCAGTGGGAGAGGGGGGACAGGGTGATGCTGGGAGAGGAGAGGGTAAGGGCACTGGGGACTAGAGGAGGAGGGGGAGGTGCTGAGAGGAGGCTTGAAAGAAGGTGTGGGCGTGAGGAAGGCGGATATGGAGCAAGGCATCTGTGAGGGCACAGAGGCATGAGGGGAATGGGGGCAGAGGGTGGTGAGGGGGTGTGTATCAAGGGAAAAAGAGAGCAAATGGGGTAGTGGCAGTGAGGAAAAGGGGAGGCACCAGGAGGGTGCTGGTGCCAAGGGATTCTGGGGGTGAAGCAGAAGGGCAGACACCTGCAGAGGAGGGACCAGCACCAGAGGAGAGAGGCAGGGCAGGTGTGTAGAGGGAGATTTTAGGAGGGGATGAGGAAGGGTAGCTCACATGATCAGAGTGGGACTACTGGAGGAGTGGGCACAGGGCGGAGAGAAGGGCTGGCGGAGGGGGGCAGGTCTCAGGAAGGCTGAGTGCAGTGAGAAGGGCAGGAGTCAGGACAGCAGAGGGTGAGGATTTGGGGGGCAGCAGGCACCAGGGGAGCTGATGGAGCAAGGGGAGGAGATATGGTAGCAGAGAGAAAAGGTAGAGGTTTATAAGATATTTATTAATAACCTGGGTGATATTTATTAATAACTTATTAATAATTACTGTTCTTATTCTTATTAGGAATTTATGCCATTAAAAAACACTTTTTGTGGGGGAGGGTGACGAGTCCCTTTTTTGTCTGGCGAGTAGGGTTTTCCATAATTTGTTGACGCCTGCCAATAAGCATATTCTTATCGGGTAGTTGAGTAGTGACTCGACTAGTCGCTTCCCCCCCCTTGCTGCTTCTTATCAGAGAAAGGCAGCAAGTAGGGGGGAGGGGGAGGAGCTGATGCTGTTGGGAGCTGGCTTAAAAGTCGATGCCCCCCCAGCATCATCTCAGGCAGAGGTGTAGTGGGGGACCAGGCACGAGCAGGGAATCAGCTGATTCCCAGCTCATGCCTGGTCCCAGATGCTGCACCTCTTTTTTTAAAATGTATTAAGAGCTTGGTGGCTCTTAAAACATTTAAAAGGTGGAGCTGCAGCAGGGTTAGCTCCCAGGCTGGGAGCTAACCTTGCTGTGGCTCTGCAGTTGCCCTCCCTTATCGACAATCAAATAGATGATGGAAATTTCTTCAACTACTTAATTAGATGATTACCCACAATTTAACATCCGGAGTCCCCATCATCCAGGAAATATAGCTGTCATAGAAGCAGCCTTTCCTGCCTCTCAAACTTCTTTGAGATGGTTGCCTGGCTTCCAGTGGAAATGTCAGGAATTATGCTGAATGATTGCCATGGACCATTTTTAGTTAACTTACTAGGAAGCATTATCTAGGCCCGGGTGTTTCAAACTGTGGTATGTGAATGTGATATCCCATCCATTCGCTTCCCAACAAGTTTTTAAGAATTGGTACGTGAACAAGTAGAGTCTGGGAATGGCTGATCTTGATAAACTACTGGGCTGTGTCTACACTGGGCCACTTATTCCGGAAAATCAGCCGTTTTTCCGGAATAAGCTGCGAGCTGTCTACACTGGCTCTTGAATTTTCGGAAAAGCAACGATGCTCTACTGTACAAAATCAGCTGCTATTCCGGAAAAACTATTCTGCTCCCGCTCGGGCATAAGTCCTTATTCCGGAACACTGTTCCAGAAAAGGGCCAGTGTAGACAGCCTAGTAGTCTTTTCCGGAAAAAAAGCCCCGATTGCAAAAATGGCGATCGGGGCTCTTTTCTGGAAAAGCGCGTCTACATTGGCCACAGACGCTTTTCCGGAAAAAGGGCTTTTCCGGAAAAGCAGCCTGCCAATGTAGACGCTCCTTTTCCGGAAAAACTGAAAACGGAATAGTATTCCGTTTTAAGCATTTCCGGAAATTCATGCCAG